TAAGTCAGCAACACTTTAAGCCAAGGCGAAACTAAGAGGAAGAACATGAACTCTTGCAACTAGCTCCAATCACCAACCACAGACAACTCGAGGATCCCAATCCACATTCCTTGAACGGCGAAATGTATGGCCTCAGTGGAGCAAAACCACAATGACTACTCTCTCCGCGAGTCATTCATCTCGTCACGTAGCGTCTGTACACCATTGACAAAAGCCAAAAGACTCAGACGCCTCTCATAGAGATTCCGCAGCTCCACTCGCTTGCTATCGTCAGCCGAGTTGTGACCTGTGATCAAGATGATCATGAAGAATGACTCGATCAGACTCGGTGGGACATTGCACAGCAACTGGCCCGTCAGCGTCCATTTCATCGCACTTGCTCCTGCAATGAGACACACAATGACGAGGAAGCCGGCCACAACTGTGATCTCATGTGCGCAAACCCGATTCATCGCATCGGAGACGCGGTGCGTCAGACTTCTCTGTTCAGTGACCTCCTTGATCGGCATGGGTTGACCGACACTCGCAAAGAGCTTGTTCTCTTCCGCCTCGACCTTTTCAAACTCCAGATCGGCAAAACCTCGGAGGCGAGCTTGCATGTTTCGGAGGACAAAGCCATCGTTCATGCCAACGAGCCCAGCGTAGGTGCCGATGATCAGCCACCAGTTGGCGTTGAAGCGTAGTAGAGGTCCTATCGCCACCCAGACGATCATCATGACTAGTAGGATGGTGATGCCGACCAGAGTCCCGACGAGATCCGCATAGTAGAAGATGGCACGTTGAACTCCGCTAACCTTGGGCGCTGGGATGATAACCACGTCGTTTTCAATGTTATCACCAGTGAGGAGCCGGAGGCGATATTCAAGCGTTGCGTCAACCTTAGAGATTGCATTCAGACAACTAAGGGTATAGGCGGAGTGTCGCTCGCGGATGTTAGCCAGAAATGCGAAGACAAACACCATCAACGCCGAAGACGCCGAGTTCATGTACAGCTGCCACTCGTTGCTGTATCCTTCCAGATGTCCGAGGCCAATCCAGACGAAGACGCCAACCCAGTATAGAGCGATTGTGCCGAGATGACCCAGTACATGAGAGAACCAAGTGACGGTCCGTCCAAAGCACCTTTCAGCAGGGAGCTCCGCGCTGAATTCGGGAGCGTTCCGGTACTGAGCCACGATCATTGTCAGCCGGGTTTGCTTCTCTGGATCCTTCCTGACTGTTTCCAAGTCCAGTTTCGCCAGCATCCTGCGGTGGCTGAGAATGCGCGACTGCAGCTCGGCAGCCACAGTCATTTCCTCATCGTATGCGTTGAGCTGCTGTCTGACAAGGAAGGAGTCAAACACATAGCTGACGATTGCCTGAACGTCGGAGATGAGGACTTGCCAGAGCTCGGTGGTCCCGTACTTTATCCCAAGCATGGCCCAGGCGAGGAGACCCGCGAGGATGAAGAAGAAGACTGGCTCTGAGCCAGACATCCGAACGACGAAATCCAGCCACCGGTCCAGCATTCGGGGTTTGCTTTTCGGAGCGTAGCCAGTGGCGTTAGGCTTGTCAATCGCAAGGCCGTCCTTCTCGGTGAACTGAGTGGGAGCCACGCCTTGGATCTCGCCCTTTGCTCCTGGCTTGCTCAGGACATTCATGAAGCGATTCATTTTGTGCATGTTGATATCTTTTTTTCCTTTTTTTTCCTTTTGAGTTTTATCCTCCCCCGGTTTTTGGTTATATATGAAACGCCGAATATGGATTAACGAGTGTATAGAATCTAAAGATGCTGTGCTAAGCTGTTACATGTCAGCATGTGCGTCCCTAAGAGCATTCTCGACAATTGAGATATACAAACAGAATGCAATCTTTTCCATCTTCTGAGTCTATACTGATACTCCTCGAAGCATTGGCCCTCGATACTGCTTGTCCTATGGCGGGCGACGTTCTTCTAGGAGCTCTGGGTAGACACAGTTGGGTCTGTGGTTATGGCATTCCACTGCAGTGATACAGAGGCAAAAGATAGTCAGACCAAGGTTCTTCATCGATGTATGATTTAGCAGAAGAATCCGAATTGGCTGTACAATGAAGTAGAAGCACCAGCAATTGAGATGAAGAAAATCGAGTTGATCAACAAGTAGGGGAGCAGAGGGAAGTGGAAGGGAAAACATAAAATCTTATATCCTGTATACATTTTCTTAGCTTCAGGAACTGGAGACTTCTAGACGACCTTATTCGGTCCAGCCCTGTCGATTCAGCCATTCAGGTCCGTCGGATCTGTTGTCAGTCTGTCATGGTCGTCCAAGAAAAGCTTGGATCGATGTATTTAATTCCCTCATAGGACTGCTAGGCTGCTATGCTTTGTTCCCTGCTATCTATAACAATAACATGACACATACTGCTTTCTTACGATTCGCAGCAGGCAAAGGAAGTCGTCCATTTGATGGACCATTAGGAGCAGTATCAGTACCATTTAGCATGGCTCTTCTAGGCACTACCTTCTGAACGTTTGACATGACAACAACAGTCTCATTTCAGGTTCTGTAGCCTCCTTCTATCATTCAGGCTGGTAGATGCTTGACAGTGCGAGCGGCCTTCCATTGATTAAAGTTTGAATCTCCATTGGCTCCCAGAAATGCCTCTCATACCTCACGAAACATGGGTGCCTAAAATGGGCCTGCAGAAAATTTTTTCTCTCAACATCTCTGGTGCCTGTTAATATCACAACTTGATTCCAATCACTTGAAGGGGTATCTGTATATTGTCTATGCTGTTACCATGGCTTATAGAGGGGCAAAACAATCATGAAGCGTCATAGTCACGATGAACCAACAAAGTAAGAAGTGCCAGGGAGGATGATGCTATTTTATTCAACTTACAAGGCTAAGGTAGAGGTTTCTCTTTTCCAACCTGGAACCACTTCTGCATAATAATGTGCTCAAGTGGTTGAAGGCTGGCAGTGAAGGCAAGTCGATGGATGGTACTGTGTTGACTCAGACATAACTCTTCTAGTTCTATTTCATGCTTTAATCTTTATCAGAAACGAATATACTTTATACAAGGCAAGAACTAAATTCTGGAGGAGAGTTTATATATCCTCTTTTCAATCTTATTTGCTTTTGAGGAGCTCCTACAGGGACAGGGCAAAGCAGGACGTCAGACCCTCTAGGAACCATGATTTTGTGTAGCACTTTACTAAATCCCTGAAATAGGCTAGATACACTCTTTCATGTGTCTAAATTATCCATGGGACGCACGACTATTAATGCCGATAACTTAAAACCATGCTTGGCTACCTTAATTCTTTGCCTGTATGTCATTCTCCTTGGCAAATATACCTTAAGAAGGTTAATAATGGTTCCAAGGTAAGCATATATATCCGTAGGCTTTTTGGTTTGCAGCAGCCCTTGTTTACGCTTCGCGCATATCACATATGAGACTTTATCCATGAACACAGTACTAGACCTGGTAATTGCTATTGATGCTCATGACAGCTAGATCATCCTGATTAACTGATTATTGTATTTCTATTATTTAAACAGTACCATATGTGGCTTCTACTCTCCGTTTAATCAGTGATATATGATAATTATACAGAGGAGAGGGTTGAGGACATTTGATTTTGTTGCCAGTAGCTTAGCTTCCCCCAGACTTATGTAACTGCATGAGCGCGACATTTATGCGCTCTGCTCCTGAGACCAATCAATACAGTGCAAGGGCATTAAATTTCCAGAAGCAAGTGATGATTTGAAAAATTATTTACTCACATGCAGTGGGCCGATTCTAGGGGCATAGCCTACGGTTCCCGCATTTGGACGGCTCCACCTCGGCAAAGACGGGCTAAGTGAAGACAAGACATAAATATCCAAGTTGCAAGTCGTCCATATTCTGCCTCAGTATTGATTTCTTAGTATTCTAAACACCACAAAATTTGCAGCATGTCTTCCAACACGACCCACATCTGCGTCGTCGGTTCGCTGAATATCGACTTCGCAGTATCAACATCCCGGTGTCCCGGGCCAGGGGAGACCTTAACAGCAAATTCACTCTCCGTGACTGCCGGCGGAAAGGGTGCAAACCAGGCCGTCGCATGTGGTCGAGCATCACTCACCTCCAGTGACGCCGCAAAAGTCACTGTGAGCATGATTGGCGCTGTGGGTGCCGACGACGTCTACTACGCAACATTGATCCAACCGACGCTAGAGGATTCCGGTGTAGATACAAAGTATATTGAAGAGAAGACAGACAGCCGCACCGGGTCTGCAACCATTATCGTTGAAGACTCAGCGCACGGCGAAAACAGGATCCTGGTGGTGCCGGGGGCCAATCATGCGGGGATGGATGATGCTCAGAAGATCCTCGGCACTATCCAATCCTACCCTCAATCTCCGGCTTTGGTTGTCTTACAGGGCGAGATTCCCAGACACACGACTCTGGACTTGATGAAGCATTTCAACCAGCCAGGGAATCCAACACATGTCCTGTTCAATCCCGCCCCGGTCTTCGCAGATGGCGTCCCAGTTGAAGCGCTCGCCAACACGTCCGTTCTCGTCATGAACGAGACCGAAGCGGCGCAAATGCAGGCATCGATCTCAGCAGATTCAGCGATCGACAGCCAGGCGACGGGCGAGTTGAAGCCGGAAGACCTGGCGAGGCGGTTCCATGATCTCGCCAAGGTCAAGATCGTCCTAATTACCCTTGGGGCAAAGGGTGTTTTCTTCTCGACCCGCACCGGCAGGAAGGGTTTAGTCGATGGGATCCGGGTACAAAACGTGGTTGACACGACGGCCGCTGGCGACACCTTTGTTGGGTATTTCGCCGCGGCATTTGCCGAATTCATCGCGACATCAGCCTCGCTGGAAGATTTCGATAACGCCATTGAGCAGGCAGTCCGACAGGCAAATTGTGCCGCGGCGTTATGTGTGCAGAGGCCAGGTTCGATGCAGAGCATTCCAACAGCGTCGGAAGTCGATAGTTTGGACAGTCAATAGGTGAAACAAAAGTCCTGATGTGTTCTATCAAGCAATTGGTTCTTCGTATCGTGACATGCGCCACTGGGATTGAAGAGATTCGATCTCGAAGTCCAAGTTGATCCCTGTCAACTCCGTAATTCTTTGTAGCCGGTTCAACACCGCTGACTGCTGTAAATGGTGGGTCATATCTTTGGCTATGAGGAGCAGCGCCGCAATGAGGATCGGGTCCCACTGCTCAACCGTATCGTTGCTAGTTGCAATACCGGCAATGGACTGAGCATGCCAGATAGATGAGGACAGGCATTTCGGGCCGGTCAGCGTCTTCACAAAGCGCGGTTTGCGAGTCAGAAGGAGTAAAGACGCGACATGGTAGACAGCATTGGCGACTAGTGCGAGGGGTGTTGTATAGACCAAGATTGGGAAGGAAGAAGCGTTCTGTGGGTCAATCTCATCTGCGTGCGCAGCTCGAACATCCAAGACGGGCTGAACTTGCAGAGGACGATTCTGATACCATCTCCGGCATTCCATCCACAGATAGTTCCATTGCGACACTGGATTCAAAGCGGAGACAGCCTCTACTTGGCCCAAGCCCTCAAGATATGTGGCTGGACCTCCGAAGACGAAGGTCAACGTATGCGCAAGAAGGAGGAGACTATGCTGATAGACCTGTTTGATCGGAGCTGACTCTGAACTGGACACTGGCGGGGGGATCAGCATATGTGGAGGCTCAAAGCTTATAATAGATGCAGCAAGATCTGGCCACTGTTAGCTTCTGACAATAAGCCCAGGAAGTTTTAATCAACTCACCGATTCTGAGTGTGACCCAGAAAGACGGTTCATTGAACCCTCCATCAGAGGCTGCCAGGCATCCGAGGCCTCCTGGCGCATTGATATGACCAGTCACCAAAGTCTTCCACTGGGATGGACGCGAGGAAAAGAAATCATGCAGTATGAAAAATACATTTCCTACCCTCTGGATAGTAGGAGTTTCCAAAGGAAGGCCGTTCTCAGCTTCTTCGCGAAACCTGAGGCTCATGGCGAGGTCGTCGGCTGCGTGTCTCGGCACTACAAGCGACCTTTGGCCCGCAGCAAGCGCAAGGATAGCAGCAAGAAGTGGTCGGACCCGCCTGCCAAGGATCAGGAACTCGAGGCCGAAAGCACGGCTTGGATTGCCGACGTCAATCCAAGGGGCTAGCGCATAGCAGTAATGTCGCAGTAACCCTGTCTCAGGATCATTGCCGGAATCCGACAGAGAGGTAAAAGAAAGCTCGCGCCGAGCCTGGTGGACTGGAATAGCACCGCTCGAAGAAAGACGCGCTGTAGCGTGATTGGGGGTTGCAAGTAGTTCTAGAGGCTCTGCATGACATTCGGCAGGTGTTTGCTCGTGCTCCACGGTACCACTCTCATGCAGTGAAGGAGTTGTGGCGGGGGTCTCATCCACAAACTTTCGGCTGTCAGTCAAGGCACACTTCTTTGGCGATTCTCATCTTACTCTGATAGTGCTATACGTTGATCCTGTCCCTTCGGATTGTAGATCGGATACATTTGCAACCGAGACAAAGGTGATTTTGCTGGGATATTTACAGATGAAGCCTTTTGCAGTACAACTTTCACAGCAAGGCTTGGCCTCATCGCCTGAGTAGGAGAGATAATCAGATTTCAACCCCTCTTAATAACGTGTCAGCAATTCTTACATTTTCTTCTGCGCCGGCGACACGTCAAGCAGCCAGTGCGCACACGTTGTTTGCCTGCTGGGGTAGTTCTCTTCGTCGGCATCGTGGCACTCGGTTCTTCCCCAGATCATCCCGAGAAGGTGCTGTGACCGGTCAAAAAGGGGTCATTGAGCCTCTGCACCCCAGAATTAGCCCGACTTGGACTGCTCGGCTGACCGATGAAAAGCGGCTTGACGGTGGACCGGTTCTCGTCCGGTTTGCTTCATTCATATCGGACGGATGTGGGACGGAGAGAAACCCCAGCAGGAATTTTACTAAGCCATAATGGTCAGCTGATCCCACAATCCCGAATTCGGACCCTCTTTTACGTAATACTTTTCGTTCACTTTTCTTTCTTTGCTTTCAGTGTTTTCTTGATTACAGATTTGTCTATGCATACAGATTGATGGGAGGATATCAATAGAGGAAGTAACTGTCTCGTTGTAGACTACACATGAAATGATGGAATACTTACAAGAGATCTTGAGACAAATTTGGCGAAATTTTTGATTAAACTTTGGCTTCATGGAGCACCATCCGCCGGATATATATTTCCGAATACAGCAAGCAAAAAATAATTACACACACAGGCATTAATCTCATCCCTCATATACTGAAGAGCATCATCTAGACATTCTCCACAAACTTCTCTTCCGAAATTGGCCCTTTCGACATACCGTTGCCTCCCTCTGCTCTCGCCAGCAGTGCCGTCAACCCGACATCACGTTGGGCTTCACGAAGGAGCTGAGCGTCGCGCTCACCGGTATGACTGTTGAACACCCGGTCCATTTCCTCCAAGGACGCGTTCTTGGTCTCAGGGAGGTAGAATTGGACCCAAAAGATGCCAACCAGAAGGAAGACGGCAAAGAAGATGTATGTGCCCCATTGCCACGACTTCAGCATTGGGGGGACGAAAAATGCAATGGCAAAGTTGTTCACCCAGTTGCTGGAGGCACCGATGGAAGCTCCTTTTGCTCGGATCGAGAGAGGGAAGATTTCAGAGACGAGCGTCCAGGACACTGGTCCCCACGTGGCCCCGAAACCAGCGATGTAGACCCAGATCAGTGCTGCAAGCTTGTTAGCCAGTGTTTCGATGCAAATGCGACTATCGAGGAACTCTTACCAACTGCGGTCCATCCGGCTGCGACATGAGACGGCCAATCGTGTTGGAACTTGGCAACAATCACGCCAACAATCACCATACTCAAGAACATGACCACCGAACCGACCAGCAACATGGGTTTCCGACCAACCCGGTCAATGATCAACTATGGCAGATTAGTTAGGTGTCTGTATGATGGCAGGAAAAGTAGATGACTTACCATAGCTGGTACGGTGCTCACGATAAACACAACTCCAGTGACACCGGTCGCCAGGAGAGCGATTGTGCCGCCAGTCAGTCCCAGACTGACAAAGACGTTGGAAGCATAATAGATGACTACGACAATGTCAGCACAAAACAGGCAACAAGAGTCGAAAAGACATACTGGCATCAATTCCACTCCACTGCTGGAAGAACATGACCAGCCAGGCGGTGCAAACACGCTTGAAGTTGTCCATGGTGGAGAAGCAGTTGGCATACTGCGCCCACTGGTTCTTAAGAATTCCCTTTTCTGCCGTGTTGGGGAAGGCTCTCTTCTCAAACAATGCCTCTGCCTTGATTTCGAGATACTCCATCTGGACGAGGTCATGCTCGACCGGCAATTTCCTCATCCAGGCGAGCGTGGACTGAGCCTCCTGGTCTCGTCCGACTTTGACCAGCCACCGAGGAGAGAAAGGCATAAACCAGATGCCGCAGGCAAGTGCAAAAGCAGGGATTCCTTGAATGATGGAGGGCAGACGCCATGCCAGATCGGATTGTGTTTCGCCAGTGCCGCCAATGTAATTGCTGCCGTAGCCCACCCAGAAGGAAATCATGATACCCAGGATGGTTGCAAATTGATAGAAGGAGACCAGGAGACCGCGCATTTCCGGAGCGGCCAGTTCGGCATTGTACAAGGGGCCGACTCCGCTGAAAAGACCAACTCCCAGACCGGTAAAGAATCGTCCAGCATACAGCAGAGAGGGCATTCCTGCCGAAGCGCCAACGTAGAGATAACTTCCTAGGATGACCCAGCAGCACGCCACGAACATGGTGTACTTTCTCGAGAATATCTCCCCAAAGATGCCGGCCGAGAGAGATCCCACGATACCACCCAGCTGAAGAACGGAGGTGAGCCATCCGGTAGCCGCAGAGGAATGGACGACCGATGGGAAGTTTTCGGTAAACCGAGTCATCACTAAGGATTGCCCCAGCACTCCTTGTTGGTAACCATACTCAAATCCTCCAAACCTACCCGTCGGTTAATCAAAGAAAATGTCATGATATTGCAGCTCGAGACACTTACGAGGCAAAGAACGCGATGAATAGAACCTTGGGGTTCTCCCGTAGCGACTGCCACATTGATTTCTTCTCCATTTGGGCCCGATGTTCCGCATAGCCCATTTGCGGGGAGACAGGTGCCTCCAGGTCAGAAGATGAACGACCACTCATATTGATCTGGTCAATAAACCCAAAGATCTAAGGGTGATGTTGCGTGCAAATGAGTCGCCTCAGACACAAGGGACGAAAGGATTGACCAGAGGGGGAACATGATTTTATAACCAATTTCCCTTCCCCGAGCGATAATTGACTTTGGGAGAATTTTCCAGTTTCCTTCAGAATAAACGCTAGGAACAGGTCAAAGTCTGGCCACATGAAGATCAGCTCAGTCCAGGATTTCATTCCCCAGAGAAATCTCTTGCTTTGGCCCAGTCGGGATGAGGGAAATGTGGGGATCCCGCACAACGTGGTGCTCTGGGGCGAGGCTCGTAGGCTATGATTTCCTATTTCGGCGCATCGGAGACCACCGACCCTAAGCCCTATCCTTAAACGGATATCAGAGCCTATCCTCGATCCACGCATTCTTGCTCCAAGAGTCATCTGGTGACTTTGAAAATTTATTGACCCCCACACCATCCATCAGTAACTTGCGGGATTAGAGGCACAATGCAGTTTTTCCACGTCAATTTCAACATCAGGTTAATGACGCGGTTCGTCCCGTCCAATGAATCAGGTATTATCTTTATCTTAGAGCCATCTAGAATCTGGGGAAATTGAGTCATGCATAAGCAGTACTCGTAGCGAAGCACCTCTTTTGAATGGAATGACGTGCTGCTCAGAAGCGGCAATAAATTAGGATGAAATGATGCACTGCATAGGTGAAATTATATACATGTTCTTGACATTTATCCCTTGGCCGAGGATCGAGCAATTAATATTCTCATCATTGAATATAACCATGCCATTACTAAACACTCATCGCCGGCATCATATTACATAGAAGAACAGACTCATATAGCAGAGAGAATTTCACCTGACTCATATCCCCATGCTCGCTCAAGGTCCCTCAGTCTCCACAAGGCACCCCAGCCGGTGCTGGTTTCGATCTTCTTGAATAGTCGAGCCACCTCGAGATGCTCGCTTCGATGGCTCAACAACTTTCCAGCAAGATAGAGTGGCTGGATCGCGTTGATGAGGTTGCCACTGTGAGGGTTCGTCAACGAGATTCCACAAACCCTCCGAGCATGCCAAACGGGGGAAGAGTGTGGGCTTGGGGAAATGAGCGGGGTGTTTGCTGGTTTCATCTGCAACATCATGATGCCGGCCGTGTGATAGAGCTGGTTGCCTGAGATTGCTGCCCAGTGCGCAAAGAGGATCTCGGGGAATATCTGACCGCCGCCAGCCGTCGTAGTCCGGATCGGGAGCATGGCAGGACACCGATTGTCGTTCCAGAATTGCAGCTCCTCCCAAAGTTGTCTCCATTGTTCGGAAAACGGTCTCGTGTCGTTGTGATCCAACTCGCCCAGTTCTAGGAACCGCGATCGCCGGCATGCCAGATTGCACGTCTTAGCGCAAAGATACACTGCCCAGTTCGCATGCCTGTCCGGATTCGAACAGCCGTCCTGGCAAAACAGATTCTTGATCATGATGTCTCGCTCTTCTTCCGAGTCGGCGGCCTGCAGGGGGACCCATTTGTGAAGTGGAAGTATAGTGCCTTCTGTTCCCTCCGAGATAACTGCTCCACACAGTTCCATTCGCGCATAGCACCAAAAGACGGCCTGAAGATGACCACCGGAGAAACCATTAACGTTGTACGCGTCGAAGAGAGCCGCGCAGCCCTCGACATGCCGTCTCCAGTCTCTAGGGCTGACCGACATCAACTCCAGACACCCCAGAATACAGACAGTTACTAACACATTTGGATCTTTTGCTTGGAGATACGGGCTCAGCAGCCGAATCGACTGTTGGTAGAGCTCCAGACTATCATACGACTTGTCCAGGCAAGCCTTGCGCTCGGTCTGCCGGGCCGAAAAGGCCAAGATGGCATAGAACAAAGCAGGGGAGCTTTGAGCAAGGACGGGGATATGCACACCAAAATGACTTTGTTCATCGAACTTGTCCAGGTGAGGCGCGCACTCGATGATCCAATTTTTCAGGTAGTGGATCAGTCTGACCTTCGGGATCGAGACCTGTGCGAAATCCAGACTATTCCTCAACAGCCCCGACGTGGAGTCCTCGATCGGATCCGACGGTCTCGGTGACTGATGCCTCGTGGGAGCATGACTGGCCACAGCCGTGAAGAGTACATCCCGCAATTCTTCCTGGAGTTGCAGGAATCGCGGGTTTGCTGCATACTCGTCTGAGCTGGAGATTGTCCCTGGCGAAAGCGTTGTGTCTTCCTCGAGATGCGGATTTGCTGTTTCTGCAGGCCTTGCGCCTGGACCAACAAAGTTACTCATCATTCCTTTGAAAGTGGCTGATGAATATCCATTCGTTGCGTAGGTTGATTTCTCTTCAGCGGTTGACTGCACTATTCATCAGTGGGCTATATTACCCGCCCAATAGGTCTGGCTTCATGTAAATTCCATTTATATAGTCGAGGACCTTGCAACTCCCAGTCATGTTCCAATGTCGTCGTTTCTGGGCTCTGAAGTCATGGACTTTGACTTTTCCGCTGTTGCTGAACCCTCTTCGTGGGAACCGGAGCGGAAAGTCGGGGAAAATCAAGATAGGCGGAGATCTGAACTTTCCCTTTTTGTGGCTAGGTTTGCTATTTTCGGTATGGCGTTATTGGTTAACCAAGGTACAAGCCACATACTGACTAATACGCGTGGCTGAGGTTCTGTAGCTCGTGCAGATTGGTTCTGAATGGGTATATTTTCCCATTGCTGAAATTCTCCAGGAATTGTTCTTGTATCACTGGCAGGTTCCTGCGCCACTCCTCAACATGAGCCACAAAGAGCTCGACATCGAAATCGTCCAGATTGATGGCAGAATTGCCCTTATGCCGTCCCCGAATCCCGTGATAGACACCTGCCGTAAGTCGTTCATAGCATTCTGGTAGCCCCCCGCGGTGATATTCAAGTTCAGCATGTCGATTCTGAAGGAGCCGGATCACCCCTTCGCGGGCCTGTGCGCGGTACGATTGGGGGATATATTCCTTGTATTCGCCTGCGATCGGCCGTATCCTAAATATTCAACAATACAACCCTGCCTGCGATGATGATGGCAGTGGTCTCATATGCGGGAATACCGCTGAATTTGACTTGGATCGCCTATGGATGAGGCAAAAAAGCGTTGCCCTATGCATGATACAGACGATGAACCCTGCTACGAGCGTGTGACGAAATTGAGCCTCGGGATCCTAAATGCGATAGAAATTTACATTTACTGGGTACAGGCACATTCAACCAAAGTACGCACCCCAGAATGAAAAGGATCCAATCAATATCAGAGGGAAGCCCAAAATGTTCTGATGACAAGACTAACTTCTCCAGTATTTTGCCCACTTACTTTCGCCCTTGACGATGTTGACAAACTCACGCGCAATGATGCGGTCAGTCTGCTCCGATGGATGAAGATCATCATACCACAGGTAGCTGTCTCGAACAGCATTAGATGCGCAGGGGCTTCCACAACGGTAGACAGAGCTGGTGATGTTGTATGGTGCAGTGCCGTTCAAATAGTGCGAGGGATTTGCCCACATATCAGTCATCTGGAAATGGGATCAGCCACATGGTGTCACAGCCTAGAGGTACAGGCAAATGTAAATCTCACCAAGGCATGCACATCATAAACAGCAAATCTGCTAAGAGGGTATCGATCTGCGACGACGACATCATACGGTGTTTGATAGTCATACACCGCATTGACCATTGTCACATACTGGCGCATCTTCTCGCTGGATCGAGTGATATTGGAATCATAGGCAGCTTTATCGGTCCAATACTGCGCGGTAACTGAGCCGCCATTCTGCGGAAGAGCATACAACGGCGTCAAGTCTAATGGCGTCATGTTCATAAGCACAAAGACTCGCGCACCTATCGCGTATAGCCGATCAAGCTGTGCGTAGACACAGTCGGTCATATATGTCAGGGGCATTCCCGCTGGCTGTACTTCGGTGAGAAAGCCTCCGTAGCCGATGTCGTTGGTGCCAATCCAGATGGCGTAGACGGTTTCATCTGGCGGGTTGACTAACGCAGGCTGTCCGGTTGTATTGCTCACATAGCCATTATCCTCCAGAAAGGTAGGAATTTGGTTCTGCTTCACGCCGTTGCGAACCGTGTTTGCGATTACGGCATCGCAAACCGCACCTGACCAGGCGTAGTTGTAGACGTTCGCGCCAGTGTATTGGCGTATGTAACTCGGCCATACACGACCTCCGGTGCTTGCCTTGACTGACTGTTTGAGATTGTAAGCACCTCCGATTCAATCAAAGAATTTCGGACTGTACCTCAGCTGCAACTGGCGGCTTGTATGATCGGACACCGTTATCGGTGTAGCTATCGCCGAAGACCACGAGCGAAGTAAACTGCTTCAATAGTGTTCGGGAGCGCTGCTGGAGTGGCGCACTGACTGTGGCAGTGGGTGCTAGGGCGAGCACAAGCAGGGTAAAAGCCAACTTCATTGTTGCTGGTGAGGCGTCGATTCAAAATCAAACCAAAAGCGCTTCAGCAGCGTGTTGGAATGACCATATATAGGCCCCATGTAGGATCGTCCAGCCTGGTTGGAGGGATCTCAGAAGCCGTCTCAATCCCAACCATACCGCAAAAGTCCGACGATGAGGGCTTCATGGTTGGTGGAGTATTAAACCGTACATAACGGTAGGCTATGCAGAAGTGTATGTCCATTTGGCCGTTTATCATGCTTCTAGCCAAGTCGTCCAGTTGCGGGGTCATTCTGCATTTGTTGCATGTACCCCTCTTCGTCATCTAACCCCGTGGCGGTGATCCTATAGCACTGGCTTTGGTCAACGAGCGAAGAGACACTAAGACCATCCATAGTAACAAAGGACATGGTTCCGGATATAGCGAATACCATCAATAGGCTCAGAGAGGCTAGACAATGTCCACAAAGCCAGGACTGCATTGTCCTGTGGTGGGGTAGCTCGGTAGTCTTCGGCATCAATTCAGCCGAACGAGCTCTTCTTCCAGATTGCTGTTGTCCAAGCTTTCTGTCTCTGTCAGTCGGTGGTACCTCGCGGAGTGGGAAGAGTATGCTGGAACTGTTCTGGATAAGATCACAGTTTGCAGCGACCATGACGGTGCATTATTCTGGGTAGAGGACTATGACAAGGTCCGCTGCAATGGCACTCCTTCACAAGAAGCAGAGTTTTTTTGGTCAATGCGTCCCTGAATATCCCCAAGTTCAGCGTATGCTCGATGACGGGAAGTTTCGAGAATGTCCTAACTGAGATGGTGCTCGACATTTCATCAAGCTTGTAGATCTACATATCAGCAGTGCCAAAAACCTAGAGGCCTCCTTTATGTAAAATGTAGAGGTGCATATGCACTGCAACTGTTGTATTGGAAGTTTCATCGTCTGCATATCAGGCAGAAAATCCGCTGCGCAAGAGAACGACGCATCATCCCTAATATAGTTTCAGAGATGAAACTCCTTTTTTCTTGCAACGCTCATGGAGAATGCTCAGAAAGCTATGGCTCAAGCTCCTGAGGCTCACTGTATTGATTCTTTGCTACTGCCGGTGGCGCGTACGGATCTGAGTTCATCGGCATCATTGAGGGCATTGAATTCAAAAGCTGTTGTCGCTTTCTCCGCTCATAGACACCCCATATCAGCGAAATGAGAGATATGACCCCCAGCGAAACACCGACACCTACACCAACGATGAGTGTTTTCGAGTCGCCACTTCCGTGATCGGATATATTTGTATTGGCGTCGCTGGAAGGAGAAGAGGAAGAGGTGCTGGTGCTGGAAGCGGCCTCTTTGGTCGTCGCCATAGTGGGCTCGGCAGAGCAGGAAGTATTCGCCAGGGCAGCTTTGTTAGAAATTATATTGCCAAGGGGGACCTGAAACGGGGCGAGACTGTTCGCGCAGCCTATGCTGTTGGATGAATTGGAGACGATGGAGTTCGCGCAATACAGGGCGTTGCCCCCGACATTGCTGTAAAGAACGATAGAGCATCCAGTGCTTCGAGCATTTGGTACTACACGGTTGGGATGTTAGGTACGCTATGATGCTGGTTGAACATGACTCTGCCGGCTCTTGTACGCACCTCCAGAACACTTATCGTCGCATGCCGACGAGAGAGACCATTTAGGGTCGGTGCAGGCCCCGCGATAAAGTGTGTATGGCTGAGACGCCCCCATACAGTAGCCATTTGTCAGACAGACAGAGTCAGTTTTACAACATGGTGACCCGCTGCTTCCAGAAAAGCATGGAGTATACCCATCAGCAGAGCCTCCGTCAGGGAAATAACAGCTCTGGGCTCGACAGAGGCCCACGAGTAAAAAGATGTACAAGAAATGTTGCCAAGGCATTGGAAAAAGTGCCGAAACTGCTGTAGGTTCAAATACACATAGAGGAGAGAAAAACTGTGAGGCATAAGTAGAATAGGATGGTACCGGAAAGTTACTTAGAAGAGGCAAGGGGTCAGCCTAAACACTGATATCAAGGAAGCGCCAGGGCTCTCTGACAACCAAGCAATAGCATTACCAGTTTGAGCATGGTTTCATCACTGGGATGTTCTACCACTCTGATTTAGCGGGCTGAAACCCGCCGTTGTCTTTAGTCCTTGTAGATGGCCCTCTAGCCATGCACCTGGACGGAGAGGGCGGCATGCTTGCACTAAGATGTATGTTAACAGCGCCGCACAATCATAGATCACAATTTCATAGACCATAGTTCATAGCTCAAATAAAATAATGGATCAGGCAGATCACATGAAGGATTATGGGGGCCTTCACGCCATATAAACTATCATGGATCAAGAGTACTAGAGCTTGTGTAGGTTGTGTGAGATATGCAGAGTTCCCTGGTAATATCTTTCTTTTCAGTGCCCCATGGCGATTCAGAGAATCTTGTTTTACAATCCATTGTTGGTCATTATCGCAAATTTAGATAGTAAATACTTGAGTTGGTAGCAATATTTGAATTTTTCTGCTGCGCCTGCCAGAACCTGTGGCCAAATCTTTGCTGGGATGAGATGGTCAATACTAAGAATAACCTTGAAATTGAGAAGAGGTCGATGTGCGGAGAAATTACGGAGTAATAACTACCTAGTAATTATTAGTGATATTGAGTGACTTGTATTGTTATCATTGGCTAGGTATAATATACGTTGGCCCCTTACAAGGATTGTCCTAATCTGAAGGATTTTACTAAGGGAGTCTGAAGGATTGTCCTAATCTGAAGGATTCTATGTCTTAGGCATTGGGCTGATAGAGTTGGATATTAAAGTTAAAGTTTTTCTTTCGCAGACACCTAACTGGCGGAATCGACACGGATTAGAAGACTAGTAGAGCTAGTACACTTCATAGGACCGTTGTGTTTCTCGCCGTCAGAGAGCCCCACCCTTTTATTCCACAGGTGGTTGGCTGGACCCTGTCAAGATAACGATAATGGTGTTACTAGTGCACGAGGAGGATGCTTTACGTTCTGCACTTCCCGTCGTCGAGTTGCCTCCCAGTAGCTAAACTACGCAGGCGCTTAAGGGAAGTTTGCAGCCCTTCTTGTTTTGAAAATAAAGCGATCCCACCTGAGTCCATTACAACGCCGACACGCCGAGGATTGGACCCTCCACAAGACCCTGGCGGTCGTCGAATGATTCAAATAAGCCAGGATATTGTGCACCTTTGGTCAATGCCAAGGACCGAAGGATCGAAGGATCGAAGGATCCGATGTATCCCCTAGTCTGCTCCGTAATATCGGCCGCATGCAATTCTCCTAGCGAGTGGCAAGCTGGGCTCCTACTTAGCCTCGTTGGCGCCAGGTCCAAATTCCCGTCTCTTTCTTGCGACCCAAGCCACCCAACTTCTCCTCCTCAGACCTCCTTTTGGCTCGGTATCACCAGAGAGCTTAAACTAGTCGTGGGTTCACCGGTTGACCCCTTCCGCACAAGGGTCCGGAGGCGCTTTTCCTGCGCTCGAGATATCGACCTACATCGACAAAAAGTTATTGGTTACTATTCTACCCTTTGAACATAGCGACTCGGTGATCACTTTGGCCCTTCGTCCCGATCGAATGCTGTTATCGTGAAACCAGTTCATCAAGATGGCTGTTCGACGGGCTCGCGAAAGGACATTCCTCCTCACGCTTTTCTTTGTTTTGTTCATGACGGTCTCTTCTTTAAAACATGAGTATAGTCTCGGGAATGTGAGTCTCCTGATCCTATACCGCAATATATCAGGGAATAAGTTACGCTAAACTGAGCTGCGCAGATTGAGGACATCGTCAAGCGAATTGAAAATCAACCAAGGTAGGCACTCTACAGGTCAATCTGAAAGGCTGATGCAGGTCTGATTATGTTGATGTCGGCGGGGTCCAGCGTATTTGCAAACTTCGTTTCAACTGTAAAGCGGATCCGATCCCCGAAGAATTACGAGAATCCGAAAGTCGTGGATGATCCCCGATTTGGAGGATCGACCGGCAAGGATACTCCGAAGATATATCGCCCTTATCCAGATTATGATAGCTTGGAATGGCAAGCCAAACACCGTGCGCCCTTTGTTGCTTGCCTCGGACCGAGAAACAAGCTACTGAACGAGAGTTTGGATGACCAGGTCGGGGTTTATGTTGGCACCCCTCAAGGTAAAGCCTTTCTCCCACGCCAGTCATCTTGATGTGATTTAACTCCCTCGCTAGGGTTTCCACGCCCTATGCTTGGCTCCTACGATGCTGTTGGACTTGATGGACATGTTTCCTTCGACCGATACACGCGGTACGGTGCCTATGGGTTGGGAGAGGATGAAGAGTCTGTTCCACATTGGATAAAACCAGCCAAGGTGAACTGGAATCAGGTCAAATGGGGCGAACTGCAGAAGCAATGTGTTCAACAGAACGCAAACAGATTCGTGAAGGAAGCTGCTACCGATGCAGGCTCCGAGATCCCGCACCCGGACCTTCCGGTTGAGGAGCGCAGCGCTGTCCTTCTTCGCACATATATCGGGAAAAAATATTTTGAAAACGACTTGCAAGTTATCCGCTCCATGGTCACGGAACTTGCTCTTCAGACTGGTGGTCAATATCAAGTTTTTTTGCTACTTCATGTGAAAGATGAGAGTCTGGACATCACACAAGAAGAGGTGCATCAAACGGTTCTTGAAGAGAATATTCCCCGGGAGTTCTGGGATATGACAGTCCTGTGGAACACTCCTATGGTGACCGAACGTTACACAGGTCTTGATCCCTCTGTTACCGAGTACGTCATGGCCTTGCTCAGCGTCCAATTAGCTCATACTAACATTATCTAGTGTTCACCATGCGCAGTGGCTTCCCCTTCAGTGGTTTATGCGGGAGCATCCTGAATTCGAACATTTCTGGAACTGGGAAGTCGACACACGTTTTACGGGTCACCATTATGAGTATGTGGACAAAATGGCAGCCTTTGCTCGCAGGCAGCCACGCCGCGGATTATCGGAACGCAATGCTAGGTTCTACATTCCCGAAGTCCACGGTGATTACGAGACCGAGTACCGAGACTACGTGAATCGAAATGAACCCGACGGAGTATGGGGCCCAGCGGCAGTGGCTGGTCCAGATCTCAAGATCCAAGTATATGGACCCACGACACCGACGCTATTTCCAAGAGACGATAACTTCGAATGGGGGATTGGCGAAGAGGCTGATTTTATTTCCTTCCTTCCCATATTCCATCCCACTGGTACGGGATGGGTCTTTCGGAACGAAGTGTTTGGCTACGAGCTGATGCAAGAGCTTCCAAAACGATACCTTCCACGACGGGCTTGTTTGATCACACATTCGAGGATTTCCCGTCGCTTACTCACAGCCCTGGACGAAGAGAACCTTTTAGGTCGGCACATGAGCTCGGAACTATTCCCAGTATCAGCAGCTCTCCACCATGGCCTGAAGGCCGTAAGCGCTCCTCATCCAATCTTTTCCGAGCGGCCCTTGCCTCCAGAGGATGTCGATTTCATATTCAATCCAGGCACCAATGGCAGAACGGGAAGCACGAGACTTAGCCCATTCTCCTGGGGCCGAGAGGCTTTATTCCTTCATACATCATGGTATTACCGCGCGAATCTTCCTGGCCGGCTCTACTGGAATTTCCTTGGATGGGAAAAGGGGGGAACTGGAGGAAAGGAGGTAAGCAATGTCCATCCTTTGTACCCCAATACCGTCATGAGACCCACGAGGCTAATCAGCATTTTCTTCTAGTATGAGCGCCGTCACGGGCGCGTCTGTCTTCCGTCCATCCTTTTCCACCCAGTTAAAGACGTTAGCCCAGACGCCGACAGTATGGGTTATGAATTCGAATACATTGGCTAGCTTCCAAATCATTTCCAGTCCTCGATTTTGCTAGATATATACCTTCCACTTCCATATTCTTTTGGCTGGACTTTGGTCATCTGTCGATTTGCGTACAATACGGCATTATTCCCGTGTATAGAATGTATGTGTATCTATTATGCTTATTAATGATCCCTGGAATTTGAATACCCACTGTTGTAGTAACTGATTGCCAGAAAGCTTTGTCATGTTGCCTTTTCATCCAGTTGGTAATTGAATCGGGAGATAAATCAAGTCTCCTCAAGTATATTCAACTCTACAATTAAATCGCGACAACAACAGCCTCAGGTGTCTGTCCAGAGTCTGTTCTTGAGGATCGTGGAGTCTAGCAGCAACACACTCTTACAATCCTAGTTATGTATGGGTCTAAACGGAGATGGTATCTGGATAAATATACTCCTGATGCAGGTCCCACAACACCCTGGAATGCATCTTATCATTATTCGTCGACTCTGTATTGATATAGATTATGTCGCGTTTGTTGGAAAAGCCATTAAACTGCGTTGAAGTCGCCATGGTATATGCTGCTGCCGTCAGTATTCCTTCAGCTTATAAATATCAAGGTGGAGGCTCACCACCCATATTGCTGTACTTCAGCCAGTCCCCCACGCGGACTTCTGACTCCAGTGCAGTTTCTCGTACGACACAATCGACACTATCACAGGTAGGACCCCAGATTGAGTAGCGATGCGGTCCACGCGCTCGCTTTGCGTTTCCATGATGGTACGGTGCGCTGCAGGGGATCAACGACGGATGCACCACCTCTTTCTCAAGAAGAACATTCAGAAAGCTCCCATATACGCCGTCATTCTGGTAAAGCATATCTGACCGTTTTTGAGCGGCCTCGGCGATGTGACATCGGCGGGATAGGACCTTGCACGCAAGAGTATAGGCACTTCGGGCATAGTAGCGCCCTGGCTCTGCGATAATGCGTGTCCTGGGCGGAAAGACTTCCATGAGGGCGCCTCGTATCGACTGTGCAATCTTTTCAAAGTTGCTATCCTGGTAGCCGCCGCCAATATCTAGGAGGTTCATGTCGTATCCCAGGCTCTTACCCAGGTCAAAGACCATTTTGGCATGTCGAATGGCATTCACATATGCTGAGGCGTTTGACGCCCCCGTACCTTTACTCTCATATCAATGCTATGAAGTGAGGAAGTGTCACTGGAAGACCTACCGACGTGAAAGCTCACCCCGCAAACCTCCAAGCCCAGTTCTCGGGCACGTTGCAACAGAACGAATGAAGTATCGACAGGGGCGCCGAATTTCTCGCCCAGCTTGATGAGAGCATCGTTGTCACAAGCATAGATCCGCAGCACAAGCCGTGCATTGGGGAGAAACGCTCGAATAGTCTCCAATTCATCCAGATTATCAAAGGTAGTTAGAGTAACTCCCGTCCGGGCAGCGAAGAGGAGCGACGAGGCCGACTTGCACGGATTGGCGAATATGACACGGGATGGGTCGACGCCGAGATTGAGGATGACCCTGAGTTCCTCGGTCGACGCGCAGTCAAAACCAGTGCCGAGTTCAGCGAGCAGTCGGAGCAGCGTAGGGTCCGGGTTGCATTTCACCGCTACGGCACCCATCGTCAGTTTGGGGCTAGTATCACAACTTGGAATGGATTTGATGTTTATGTAGTACGCACCATAGAACAGATGAACATTGGGTAAATTTACTCTCCAGCGGCGGTGCTGACGTATAACCTGCCCTAGATCTGCGACAAAGAAGGGTTCGTCTGTGATGCCCCATTCGCAATTGCTCATACTCAATAGACGAGTCCGGATCGTCCAATCAATCAGACAATCCGTTGTGTCGGACATTCTTTCCCTAGGCCGATCTGAAGTGAGAAGAGCAGACATTGTTTTAAATTGTCATTGTCACATCGACCTGAGCGCCGCTATGAAGTCATACGTTGGCAACACAACTGAGTGCTCGGCATCATCGACACGGCTGATGTTATGCGGGTCAACCGGAAATGGAAACCGTCTCTTATTCGTAGCAGGGGATGCAGCCAGGCACGTCAAGTGTCAATGGCGAACTCACATTCCGCAGTGGATCGACCTGGCATTTGGAATGGACAGTCAGGTATAAATGCGCGTGGAAAGACAGCCAATATTATTGTCTAGACAAATGAGTCGTTAATGCGAGGAAGTGGCTATGCAGATCTCGTACGACCCACTAGCATAAACCCATAAAGGACATTTGGATGATCCATCAAGTGCTCTGTGAGTTGCGACTGGTCCACTTGAATAAGCTAGGGAGAAACTATTGCCCAAGGATCTGCATATTTATTGCCATGTCCCTTGATACTCATGAAGTGATTGGCTGGAACCCTGCATGAATACAATAATGTGGTTTGTTGGCTGGCAAAAAGCAATATAAGAGGGGTGAGGATGAAGCAGGATCGGAAATACATTTCAACTTCAGTGAAAGTCGGGCTCCTTTAACAACGACAGTCAGACACCGATTCCTGTCCCAAACAATTCACTCCAGCCCAAGTCCAAAAGCTGATCAATGTCCTGCATAACGGGCAGATCAACCATATCAGAGCACCCTTGATCGTCCTGTTGCTTTTTCATCAGTTCCCTGACTCGAACCGCCGTGCTGAAAGCACAATTCGCCCCCATTCTGAACTTCACTGGCAAGAATCCATTGGGCATGTCTCGCGATTGAAACTTGTCGATAAATTGGCTGAACTGGTCGAGCAATGACAATGCACGAGACATAAAGTCTCCTGGAGTTACTAACAAACTGCTCGCAGATACTGCAGGCTATCCAGATGAGTAGCCGAGGGAGCAGATCCGCCATCGGCGATGGATGGCAAATGCGAACGAACCTCTTCTCGAAGGCGATTCTGTATCTCCCAATGCAGAGCGCGTATATGGCCCACTGAAGGGCGTGGGGCGTGGTTCCATGTCCCGCGGCCAAAATGTCATTATTTGATCCACCAGCTCGCTATCAGTGAACATCCTGCTATCGAAGGTGACAGTTGCTATATCCCTGTCTCTCTGGCCTGATGAGCCTGTCGTCCTTTCCCTCTTCTTGGCTTCAAGAGCTCCGTGGCAAACCGTTCGGATGGCCCGGGATGCGGCCTTTATCCGTGTCATTCGCTTGGTCGGCAGCAGGGATACCAATTGGTCGGCATAATCGGTCAGGAACATGAGACAGGTAGTCAGTGCACTCTCCAATGGTGATGGATCCTGTCGCATCTGTCGATACCGCCGCATAAGAGAACTGTTTGGGTTCTGTAAGGAGTCAAAGTCGTGTCCCGGCCCTGCCAAGCCGATGATATCGAGCCTCGCCCGTGTTGCCCATGCCCTCACCTCAACGACGCCTCTGTTATTGGAATTGGTATCAAGAATCTCGCTCTCGAGTCGGCTGGCCATCTCAACTGATTAGGACCAAAAAACCGGATAGAGATCCTTTACGTGTCGGAAAGAAAACGCCGGCATGAGACTTTTTCGTTGCATCTATACCTATTGTTAACCCTTGTGATTGAAAACTTGCCAGTGCGCTGACCTTGTGGATCTCTCCTTCAGCCAGAAGCAACCCATTTCCTGTGCGGGACAGACGCCGTTTGACCGCTTCGGGCTTCACGAAATGAGAAGGTTTGAGCACGAGAATACCCTTCAGTGCTTCCATGTTTGTGACGAGTACTCTCTCCTGATTCCCTGGGAGATAATATCTGATCAGGCCGCGGTTGGCGACGGTTGCCTTCCAATGCCGCAGACGAGCGAATGTGACGATGAATCAGACTTGGTACAATTTCCCCTGGTCAGTGACCGTTCCCTTGGAGTAGGCAGATTGTGCAAGGGAGTAAGAAACTCTGGATACAGGAATGCCCGATAGAAAATGCGAAGAATGAGCACCGTGATGATGAGGGCAAAATCAATGTAGGTGAGGTTGTTCAGCAGGGAGTCCATGGTGGTCGAGCAACAACCAGTAAATATACGAGCAGTATGCAGTCGATTAGCCAACAAGTAATATTATCTGGCCGAATCGAATTCGATCCTTTTCATATATCCAGTGAGAAAGCGAGGTCGCTTTTGCGGAAAACGAGGTCGGTATATAAGAAACGATATCGCTTTCGTCCACGCCACTGAGCCGGCTTGACTTACCAGTGTCTGATGACTGAAACGGGAGATGGGAAGATATCATACTTCTTCTGTATTTTTCAAATTATGATCACCTGAATGGACTTCAGATAGACTGACCGTCGCTGGCATCCCTTCAAGCTTGAATTGGTCGTTTGCCTTGGTCGTGGGATATGACTCAGGAGCAGCCTCCATGGCACTGGATCAACACCATCAACACCCAAAAACGAATTTATGGTGGTGAGTAGGTAGTATAGTTCAACAATAGTCATGTTTAATAGCATCGTACCTACTTCGTTTCCGGGGTCATCCCTCTTTCAGTCCCGCCCGAGTCTCGGTATGCTCCGTAACGGGTGCTTGATGATAAAGATATTTGCAACAAGAGCCAGCCGGTCTCACAAGTATATATGGTCCAAACACTTCGCAGACTGGAATGATATGCGTCGGCATCTACTCTCGCTTTCCCCGGATCGGAAATGCTTTGATAGTTCTAGTCCATTGATAATACGATCTATGTCAATTACCAACCATGAAGACAGACTCATCTGGACCAGTCCAGACTCGATATAAAAGGAACATCGCATATAAACTGAGAGCTATCTATGTCATGTTCCGGTCCTTGTGAGATTTTGGAGAAATAGTCGTACTTATGATTGACAGAATCTGTTAGTACACCTTTCACTCAACCGAGTGATAGAAGCAATACTTTTCAATGATAGGAGGGATCGCCTGAAGCTGATACTTAAATCACCAGTCTCGCCGTTGAAGCCTTATCCGAGGACACCAGGACKRCAATCTCCGTTCGAACAGTCACTCCGTTGGAGACATCCTGCAGGTCACTGCTGCGACGTCTCTGATGTGCTCTACTACTGGCCCTCTTCCACTCATCATCCGTATGCTGGCCTGCCTCCTTCCCAGCAGAAACGGACATGACCACCGCCCCCTTCCTTTGCGTATGAGGTTGCGAATCCAGTTCGAGGCCGGGGTGGCTATTCTTGGACCGGCTATTGGACCAGTAACCAACAGTTTGTCCTTTGTCTGTGGACACCATTGACACGACGAGGCGGATCATCGGCGCGAACGTTGCGAGGAGGATGCTGTAATTCTCTATCCTTTGGGATGTCAGGCCATGTTGCCCTGGAAGAATACGGAAGTATACTTACTTGACCCATAGAATAAAGGGGACGGTGTTATCTGTGGGCTGTTAGCGTTGCCTCCAATGATATGCCTGTAATAGCTCACGTGTAATATCGTTCCTCTCTCCAAGGGTCTTGAGTAACTGTACTCCATTCGGTCAGCTATAGCAAAAATTCTTGACGACTCATTGCGTACATATGTCTTCACAATAGAGGCAATCCCTGATAGCAGCAACGGCCCGCTGACGCTAACAGTCTGCCAGAGACGACAAACGAGCGCCTGTCGTGACATTCGCCGGACACGACTGAATAGTGGCTTGTGCTGCGTTGGAGCCGAGTCCGTTGCCCTTATTGTGTAACGCCACAGTTGCACCGCTGAGAGTACCGTCAAAAAGAAATCGATGGTCGTGTTGAAGCCTGGCGATCCATCAATGCTGTGTACAGAAGTACCGGGGAAGGCAGCTGGAGGTCATACCACCCTGAACGAATCCTATCGTCGTTTGAACTTCTGGTAATTGACAAACCACAGAGCCATCGGCTGGTGGATTATCCCACAGATAGTGGAAATAGCTGACTCGATTGGACTATAGAGATGCACCGGTTAGCTACCTTCAGGAACCGGATCTTCAGGGAGAGGGAGGTCGCATACCGCATGGTAGGGATTGGGGGCACTGCACGATAATCTGAACCGCAGTCACCATGTTCACCACAACCTGTATTGCCATGCATACGAGGATGGATACGCGGATATGCTTATCGACGCTGCTGAAGCAGGTGTAGAGAAAACACATCATGCCGGAGCGACTCAGCATAGAGGCAGTGACAGCTAGAAGACAGACCATGAGTGTCTATATCAACCGATAAGGAAAGCCACTTACCCAGCGGTTAAGAAATGAATTCGTTCTTTAACGCGAGTTTTCTTTCTGCGTCCGACAGGAACCACATGTGCCTCCCGAGACCATTTTCAAAGCTTGCCAACGTGTCAGAAAGAATCCAGGTGAGAGTCCGGCTCGGAATACCGACCTGCGCTGAATAAAGACCATGTGCGCGATATCAAACGCATATGCAGTGCCGTACAGGATATCCTCCAAACCCCATACTCTTTCGGGGGAACTGACACGAGGCAGCATCCATCGAATCCATGTCTTGGTGGTATACCGAAAGGCCAACGCCAGTCCTGCGACTCCTGTCAAAGCCTGCAGCGCGATTCTGTCAATTTTCTCCACCGTTGCGCAGGGAAGATAGTAGCAACTAACCCATGCTGCATATATATACGGACCAGCTGTTTGAGGAATTGGCTTAAGTGTCAGTGATGCGTTTACAACTCGGCTCTGTGCTTTCGCAACCAAGAGCCAAAGGGTAGAGACTCACCGTAGTTGGTATCGTTCCCTAATACAGTGGACATGTTATGACCAAGGCTGAGCAGTGTTTTGAGCAGAGCTATTTGCAGGGCACCTGAGGGAACGCATGTTTTGAGCAAACGAATAAATATTTCGGTAGGATGCTAAATCCCATCGAACTCCGCACTAGGAGATTGGGCTGAGAAATTTTAAACAGGGGTGAAGGGTGACGGAAATCTAGCATATAGTTCTCCCTTATCCTCGGCTTTAGCCCATTATCACACAACAGGGAGAGTGAAAGAAGTCATTTTGACACGTTGTGTTGGAAGTCCAGGTCAACACTCGTACTCGCCACCATGTTACTCCTGACTAGGATTGGTGATACCCCTGCTTCGCCAATTCATATGCACAACTATCAAGGCAAAGCGTTAGGGAAGTAATATCGTACTTTACAGCAGGCATGGTTGAAGCAGGAACAACCAAAATCGGACAATAGAGACGGAACATGCAGCGGGAAATTGCTCCGGTGAGTAGCCCGGTCGTATTCGGGCTTGTATGGATAAAACCGACTGACCCCCGGAAGATAGCCAATGACCGGACGGTAGATTGGGAGCAAGCCTTGTTCAGATACTTGGAAGCCTCCAGGCAGTGAGCACTAGGCAGACAGCACCCTCATTGGTACATGGCATCCACTTGTGTGCATGGGTACACGAATCTGTGCTGGTAGTGGAATTAAACTACAGGGATGATGAGCCACTAAGTGTCCCAGGCTTCTTAGTGTCCTTACAGTGATTCGGAATACTCCGTCCGGAGAGACGGGCAGACGATCAACGGAACAGCTAGTCTAGTATGAATCTCGAGAATCGAATCGATGGGTACAGGACACCTCTCGTCTTGAGCTATTCTTCGGACATTCCCATATATATCATGATATCATCACAATGTAATCACTTTCTAGTCGCTGTCGACCAAGACGGCCTATGGACATGAAGCCCAAAGGAACAGTATCAGGCCACAAGCAAACCCCAGAAGTGGACCGGCTCTAGTTGCATAAGGATCTTAGAAGCAGTCGAATCACGTTGGCACAATTAGATTGGATTAATCCCAGACCATAAGGTATCCACAAATTCCTTCGCTGCTATTTATAAAAATGTCCACCAGTTATAGTATTTTCCGCTGTCGGCTATATCTGAGAACCGCACTATGACAATCATTGGACAAAGATTTGATGAAGGAAGGTATCCAGCACAATAGTCTGAGAGAGACAAGGATCATAGAGACAGTTCATCAATTAATTTTCTATTATTGCCCGCGATTGGCAAGTAATATTCAATCTGAATAGAACTCTCCACCATCCTCATTTCAATCAACCCCTCGCCAAACGGCGGATAAGCTTCGAATGTCACTCGAAGCCCAGCCAAGTTCGCCATTTGATTCCATTCATTCGAGCTTCTCTCTCGACCTCCATACAAGGCAATCATAGCGGCGTGCATCTTCGCGTAATTGGCATTCTTCGCAAACTCATGAATCAGTAATCGCGAGTGAGGAGCCATGGCCTCTGATATCTTCTTCAGCAGGCGCACGGCTTCCAGGTCGGGGAGGTTGTGAAGAATATGAGCCAAATGGTAGATCAGCGCCCCCTTAATCGGTTGGGGACTTTCGTCCTTGTAGTTCCACGTAGCCAGTGTAACGCCAGGGATATCGGTAATATCATGGTTGAACTCTTGGACGATCAGGTCCGAAGTCTGAAGCTGGGGAAATGCTGCCTTGAAATCGAGAAACATCTCCCCGCGACCTCCACCAATGTCCACCATGGTCAACGGAGTGGAGGCTTGCGCATGGTTCAGAACCGATTCCAGATCGTACCCTAAGGCTCGGAGACGGTCAGGAGCAGTATTTGTTTTCATAAACTTGCCCACCATGAAATGATTGAAACTGGCCATGCGGCCTTCTGCGGCCATAATAGAATAAGTATGTTCTTTTGTGAGCTCTTCTTGGCCCATTGATTTGTACGCGAACTGAAACGGCGTCTCCCGCTCTTGGAATGGATACTGAAAGTTTTCCCTCTCGAGTTTCCGCATCAAAAATGCACCGCCAAGAAGGGCTTCCGTTGTACTACGAACAGTCAGTCACAGTACATCCAGTGAAAAGAAACTGGACGCAAGATCATTGATCAATCTTACAAGTGCACAGCTCCATGTTGGGCGGAAGGAGTGGCAGCCAGATGCCTGGTTATGGCATTGGCACAGTACAGATTCTCTCCGGCAAAATCAACAAAGCGCAAACCGGACATGGCATACAGCGTATCCTCTAAGACGCAAGAAGTTAACGTCGATTCGACAAGTCTTGTCTAGGTGAGTGGGTCTCACGAATCAAAAGTAAACCTAGTTGCAGGTGTACAAGTCAGAGCGATGCCGTTCATCTGGAGGAGACAAAGTACATACATGGTACATCCTGTCTTGTTTTCCCGTCGGACCGGGCTTGGAGGGCCGTCAAGACATCTTTTCCGCTCACGGGCTTGTCAAGATCTGCCAAGATATCGAACAGCTGAAAGCGAACCGCAACAGGAACGAAACCAAGGGCCGCAGCCTAGAAGCTATGCATGAGTATCACATACCGGCTTTCGGGGATCTTCAACCGACCGAGGTCACTGTACTTGCGAGTGCAGCAGCAGCAGCAAGCGAAGACATGATGCTTGTTGGAGGAGAAATTTGATATCTTTATCACAATCCCGCAGCGTGTGTGGAATTATCCCATTGATTTTGTCTCCTTTTGAATTCGAAGCATCCCTGCACTAAATACACATTCACTTCCACGCTATGCAGTACTAGTATTCACTATTGGTTTAGTGAGCTGTGCCGCAATTTCCCTACCCCTCAGTATCATGCTTTTTTTTGCCGCAATTACGGCTCTGGTGATAATCACTTCTGCGGCCGGTTCTAGATCCCTTAAAACTACAAGAGGGCTGAGGGCTATTCCTTGCCAAGACAGTTAATATCTTTGTGTCGACTAGGTGGTTGCTTGCACGAGGCTTTGTCCTCGTGGTGCACGTTATTGGGCAATTCGAACAGCACATTCCTCCGGCCGCGTGGCGTCTCTTGTCCTTCATTGCCTCCTGATAATTTTTCCAATTTCTAATATGTTGAGTGCCTTGTCAGGCTTATATCCTATCCTTGTTGTGATTCTGCAGTACAGTTGAGTCCTTTTGAACATTTGATCTTGCAGAACGTCTCATCTGCCGGGTTGGCCATCATGAGTGAGCCCAGATTTGAAGACTCAGTCATTGCAGGCGAAAAGGCTATTATGAGTACGGATGTTACTCAATCAAAAATAGAAAGTCATGTCACCGAGATTGATGACGAAGATGGTCGAGATCCCCGAAAATGGAGCCCAAGGAAGAAGCTTCTTGTGTTTATCGCACTCATGTCAAGCTCTATTTTGGCTGATGGGTATGTCCCAGTCTGGTCGCGCTATCCCCATCTTTATCATGTGCTGATCGACCCGAAAACAGAGGAATGACTTGGGGTGCGACATTGATTGTGCCTCAAGCGTTGGAGTGGGGAGTCAGCGTTGATCATTCCGCGACCAGTATGAACTACGGCATCCTGTTACAGGGTGTTGGTGGTCTGATGGCCATACCATTGATAGAGGCATATGGACGGCATGTCTTCGCTCAGTCCATCAGCAGTAATGATGGTTACTAACACCACGAGCAGTCTCCCAGTGTGGTTGTGGCCGCAGTTCATCACCATCTTCATGGTCCTTGGAGCGACATTATCAAATAACTATAGCACCTTCACTGCCTTTCGCTCTCTTCAGGGTTTCTTTGGCACAATCCCACAAGTTGTCGGTTTGCCGATCATTCATGATATGTATGAGCCGAAGGGTATGCAGATTTCGAACTCGTCCAACCCAATTCGGCATGGTGGTAGCTAACAATCCATCCCAGACTGGCCTCAGATGATCAATATCTGGTATGGTCGGACATCGACACATTTACATCGCAATCTACTAACTGACTTCCAGGGGCACTACCTTCTTGATCGGCCCCTTCCTAGGCCCTGCCCTGGCCGGATATATCGGTGCCGGCAGCAATTGGAAGGTCTCATTTGGTATTCTGACGGCCTTCTATGCGCTGTCGACGATCCTGATCTTTCTCTTCGGACGCGAGACTTACTATGCAAGAAGACAGCAATGTCAGCGTAATTCGCGCCTGCAGTCGATGTTCGGAATCAAGAATCACAACCTACCTGTCGGGCGCACTCTAGCCTACTGGACCAAGATCCTTGCCATATACATCTTCAAGTTTCCTCTCCTCCTGACGGGAATTGCAACAATGGTCATCTTTTGCTGGCCGATCGGTGGGTTCAAATTCGTGCAACATGAGGATCTCTCTGACAACGATGCAAGGTATAACCGTGACCGTTTCCACGTTTGTTGCGCAACCTCCCTACCTTTTCGATACAGTCCAGTCAGCATCATTGCGATGGGCCCCAATCACCGGAGGCTTACTTGGTGAGCAGCCTCCCCGGGATCCGTGATCGGTGTCCTGACCCTTATAGGATATGCCTTTGGCTACTGGTTCAATGGCTGGATTGAAAAGTCTCATCAGCGGACGTGGCGTCCCGAGTACCGACTTCATGGTGTCTGGATCGCCATTGGTGTCATGGCTTGTGGACTGCTGACATACGGCATGACCCTGAACTACCATAAGCATTGGATCGGTCTCGCCTTTGGCTGGCTAATGGTTGTGTTTGGCATGATCTCCAGTACAGTGTGAGTTTGCCATTACCCAGAGCATTTACTCAATCAGCTAATTACTGTATGCAACAGCTTGATTACGGCATACAATCTCGAGAAGTATCCCGACCAGTCAACAGTAGTCTCAGCAATCATCAATGCCTGGCCTACAGCCAGTGGCTTCTCTGTCGGATACTTCCAGCCTTCATGGATCGCCAAAGACGGAACTGCGGCAGTTTTCGGAACGCAGGTAGCGGTGGTCGTTGCGGTTCTGATCCTCACAATCACCCCTGTCATAGTCATCGAAGGACGGAAAGCTAAACGCGCGATGGGTGACGCATGATTGGTGGCTGAGAGTCTTCTTCTGTTCTTCCATCTTGAGTTGGCTGGTTTGCCCATCAGAAGTCAATAATACAAGACTCTTCCTCGTTTCTATTTCGTGTCATATGCAACCTATCGTCGTGGGATGACGACTTCTCAGAGCATATTGAACATGTTCCACGTGGAAAGTGAATTACTGGGTGTATTGTACCACAGAGCAGTCTGTTCCATACTATCACTCATGAAAGCATCATTGAATAGACTCTCATGGGTATCTTCAATAGACCAGGAAAAGTCATTCCATTCCCATCCATTTGGGAGGGCACTCGCGCCGTCCATGACAGTGGGCAGTTGATAGCCGACCGGACCCTCTAGCAAAGCAGCGGATATACCATCTTGCCTCTGAGCTCGAGAAGAATCCAGCGAGGATGATGCTGTCGCACTGGTCGCAGTCATCTGTGTGGACTTTACATTCCGACGGATATGCAGCCTGCCAAGCAGAGGAACTTGCAAGGTCAGTGTCTGCTCAGACGCAGTGTTTTCTTCCTGCCGTAGAAGCTGATTAAGGGCACATAGCGTATTGAAGCCTTGTTCCGCAAACTCAAAGCCCACGGGGTCCTTCGATCTTTGTCCCATGATCTTGATTACTTCGGCAATCACGCCCTGAATTTGACTAGTGTCGACATGAAAATTACGCCGGTCCGTCGGAAAGGTGTTGCGGGACAAGAGCAAGAGAACCGCTGTAGCTGTGAAAGCTTGCAAGTCTATTACTCGTGCGAGGAACACACCTGGAGGCAGTTTTCGTCTGAGGGAAATATAGCGCCTTGCCAAGGCATCGCAAGCATCCATGCAGGGTAGCCGACTATACAAATACTCCTCTCGCGAACCTTGACGCAATGCCATGGGAAGGTATACTCGCATCAAGATTATATAGTGAAAGAATTGCACTATTTGGGCGGTGTTAACCGGGCATTCCTCGTTGACAAGCCACCATGTGCTGGGCGTCTGAGCGGCAAGGGTGCCCAGGTCCCGCGCCATCTCCAGAGCAGTCATGTGGAGTTCGGGTGCAGGTCCCTGGCTGGCACTCGATTCATCTATATCATGTATTCGAACAGCGATATCCAGCAGCTTCGTAACATATACATCCGGCTGAACAACGCCGTCGACGATAAGATGTAGACTGGGCGAGGGTTGGTAGCGCCGAGTGTCAGGTGGTAAATTCAAAATCATTCCGGACAGTCTTTCAATGTTGCAGAGCAATTCCCAAAGTTGGGCCATGCGGTAAGAATGCTGGTCACCGGTTCCGCTGACCCTTTCGAGCCGAACAGCCTGATATATTCGGGGCAAGCCCATCAGCTCTGCAATGGCAATGAGCCGCCGTATTGTCAACCACGACTTCTGGAAGTTTCCTAGACCAATATGACTACGGAATCAGCAACGTGTTCATGTCGCTTGGCTGAATCGTAGGTGCGAATCTCACAGTCGGGCAAAATGTACGGCCATTCCAAGTCCTTCTCCCGTTGCGAGCAACCGATCATGGCACATGAGCGTACTCTCCATGGTGTTCGTAATTTTTCGACAAAGGTCAGACCGCTTCCGACATTTTCTGAGCTGATCTTCACGATTCTCGGTCTCTTGCGGAAGTTGTTGGCCTGTGATCGCCAGGGCTAGGAGCCACGATGCCAGAGTAATGATATTCACATCAGGACTACACATCTCCTCGTACCTGGCGACGAGATCTTGCTGTGAGACAACCGTGCAGGGTTGCGGTAGGAGAGTATGAAGCACGGTCAGCCAATCAAATGAGGACGCTGCAATCTCGATCACCTCATCCTTTGGCGGGATTAAACTCTGCAGTCGAGGCCTCACGAGGCGCGAGAAGTGTGTGGAGACTTTTCCCTGCGCTTTGTTTTCGTTTTGCGAGGTGTCAACACTGATCCAGTCATTCTGGAAGAGTGAGTGCAGATGGGACGGACGATCTGTCATGGGAAAATCCGACCCGCTACTCTCGGCATCGGACTCTTGTGCATCAGGAGCTTGAACAGTGTCAGAGTATACTACCTGGGACGGTTTGCTCCCAAGCTTGACTTCGAGACCGTTGACAATTTTTGTGAGCTGAGTGACGTGAAATTCCAGCTGTGTAATCCTTTTCCGAGACGAGAACCGTGCTCGAGAGGACCTCTGTCTGGTCGAAGACTGGGCAACACAGGCTGAACCTCGCTCTTCACATTGCCGACACGACTTAGCATCTTCGGATATTCGGACGCATCGAACCTTACGCCGTCTGCCTGCTATGTTGATTAAAACAGATGAAATCTGGATGATGCTGTCTTATACCCGCTTACACTCTGTGCAGCTTTTTGTTCCTTTCCGCAGCGCGGTAAGATCGCTTTGAGGACTCGACATTCTCGAAACAACTGACTTCTATTACTGTTTGTGATAAATCATCGGACGAGACAAAATTTCCTCCGTGCGTTATCTCCGAGATGATGTAGTGGAAGGTAGGAAGATGGGGGAGCTGAAGAGGCAAGTGTTTTGTTCGGTCGCGGACGAGATTTTGGGCCGCGGACGAAAGTGCGAGCCGACAGCGCCACCCCTGTCACCTGATTCGCTTCTCTTTCTGTCATCC